TGTTGAGCCTTTTAAAAAGTTAGCAAAATTAATCAAAAATCTGCACATTCGAGTTTGTAGTTATACTGTTTTTCACAATATTTCGTCGATTCTGGCTCTGGGTTTGCAAAAAATGGGTGGTGAACTTCTTTTCCGATCAATTTTTCGTGACTTATTTATTGCTTTTTTGGCAGTTTCCAAATGCTTTCACAAATTCAGATATATTCACGCGATTCCCCTGTTTCTATACAGTATTTTTTTAATAGTCGCTTTTTAGTTATTGCTTGAAAGATATAGAAGCCATAGTCCTAGTTGTAGTTGCTTTTTTGTCACCAGTCAAGGAAAGCACTGTGTTGACATCTGTGATTCTTGCATACGTAATCATAAAATTGTCACAGCATAAGTGTCAATCCGTAAACTTTGACAAACCTTAGGATGTGTTTGATCATCTTGGTGTATGTATTCATGCAATTAATTCTTCAAATCGTAATTAACTCTCAAATTTTATTCACACAGGCTGTACAGAGACATACTTAAAAAAGTACTTAAATAATACAACTCTTCAAAGAATACAGTTTGTACAATAGTATGCAACTAAAAAATAATTGCCTTTAACATCTATAAAAAAAAAATAATTACACCACATCTTTAAAAAATCTCTGCAGGACTATATAAAGCACAATTGGCACAAGAAAATAAAAATCTCTCTAAGACAATAAATAAAGGAATTATTTATTGATGACATTTTAAATCTTAATTGGAAGGCATGGGCATTTAAAGGTAAAAAAAGTAATTTAGCTGAATTTTAAAAAAAAATTATAATAATAATCTAGCAAACATTTTTAAGGGCTGGGGAACTCAATAAAAAGAATACCTGTATTCATTCAAGTTGTAGAAATTCAAATGTAATTTATAATTAGCAATAAATGTATATTTAAAAAAATTAACAAAACAAGGATGATTTATAATTAGCAATAAATGTATATTTAAAAAAATTAACAAAACAAGGATGAAATTTTTTTTTTTTTTTTACATTCTCTTGATGATCAGTTTTTCATTTTTTGATTATTAAAGGGGGGGGGTTAACATGTTTTATTTTTATAATGAAAATTGTCAAAGNCACAATGTAATTTATAATTAGCAATAAATATATATTTAAAAAAATTAACAAAACAAGGATGAACATTTTTTTTTTTTTTTTACATTCTCTTGATGTTCAGTTTTTCATTTTTTGATTATTAAAGGGGGGGGGTTAACATGTTTTATTTTTATAATGAAAATTGTCAAAGTTATGTTTCAAATCAGAAAAAAACCTTTATATTTTTTCTTTGCACTGTGTGTAATTCTACTTTTATAATAATGCTTTCAATAAAATTACTTTTATCTGAGTTATTAATTAGTGAATACTTTTCAATTTTGTTATGTCACATTTTCCCTGCATATATTGAAAAAGCTAAAGGGTAAATAGTGTTGACTAACCAGGACAAAATAGGTTTAAAGGAGAAAAAAAAAAAAATAATTCAAATATATAGTGTAATTGNAAAAAAAAAAAAAAAAAAAAAAAGGTAACTATGGGAAATATAAAAATTCTCTCAGAAAATGCCACCTGAATAATAACAAAAATTTTCAACAAGAAAAATTAACAATAACAAAAACTTATAAACTCCTTAAAAGAAAAATTGTTCAAGAATTTGATTTTATTGCAATAATTAGCTACGTGTGGCAACTTTAAATAAAAATCTGTGCTTTTAAATAACAGAACATAAAAAATATTTTTTTAAAAATATATTTTTTTTTTCTTTCTGTATCCATATTATTTCAAAATCTAGATTTTTTTTAAAAAAAACAAGAACATAACTTTAGATTGCTAAACAATAACAATTTAACACTTTAAAAAACAAAATATTAAATAGCATAAGTAATTTAAAACATTGATTTTTTTTAAAATTTAATTAAGCTTACGCTCAGTTTAACATTTAATTGAGCTTTTTTTCAATTAGAAAAAAAAATTAAAAAAAGTAAATAGAATTAAAACCAAATTTTGAAGAACATTTTCTAATTTAAAACATAATAAATGATCATTGCATTTTACACTATCCCTTACAAGTAATTAACAATAAAAAATTATTGTTAAGTATAAATTTAAAAATTAGGCTATAACATTATTAATTAAATAATGTTTAAATAGCCTAATTAGGTTATTTCAATACTAATATAACTTCATTTCAAATAAGGCTATTTTAACACTATTAATAACATAATTTACTGTGCAATTTAAAAAATATATATGAGTAATTTCTTGAAATTATCAAAATCCATAGTTTCAAAAGATTAAAACCACAATGAATTAAAAAAAAAAATCTAAATGGGGCAAAATAAATTTTATTAAAATGAATTATGAAAAAAAATGCAATTGTATAGGGCAATGCTTAATTTGCATTTTTGAAAATTCAAATCTGTAATAAAATATTTAAAACATAATTCCACAAAAACTAGAAAAAGACCAATTATTTTTAATAAGATAATTAAATTAACAAAGTAAAAATTAAATATGGTATTGTGTGTAAAATTTTACTTTGGAAAAATTGTCTGTCATCAAACATTTGATTCTAGGTTATTAATATATTCCACAAAGAGGCCATTCAAATATACTATTGACTTCCCTTTGTCAGCAAAAATAAGCCTCCTGTGCTTGCCCCCCTTCAAATTTTGTTTTAACTCAACTCGCCACTTAGGGGCTTACATAACATTTGACAGCCCCCCCCCCCCGAAAAAAAAAGAAAATGTTCTATAGTGCATTTCAGATTATTGAAAATTTAACAATAAACAAATAACAAAAATCATGTGATTTCAGGAAATAAATATGCAATAACAAAACTATTTTATAATTAGCAAAATAAGATTGATTGTTTTGTAATTTAGCAGTAAAAAAGATAAGCACTTAATTAACAATTAAAACAAATTATGGGAACATATTGGCACATAAAAATATAACACTAAAATAATTTATGCATCTTTGTATATAGGCTCTCCATTGCAATATAGAATTTCTCTAACAGTTTCTGTACATATATACAAATATGTAGCCACAAGCTCACAATAAGCACAGTTCAGATTCTTAAATAAAATACAGCTCACTGCTATAGGTACGCATACAATTTATATATCTCTAGTTTCATATATCTACACACATATATTTTCTAATTACTACCATTGCTTAAGAAATAGCACCAACTATACAAAAACGAATCGACAGATTTGGACGCAATAAATCTTTTGTTAGCTCTCCTTCTTTGTAAATTAAACAAAACATTTCCACAGCTGCAGTCAAATAAACCAACAGGGATACTAATCATTTGATTGTACACTGGGGCAGTTAACACATTGGCTTAGCGAAGCGTATATATACGCCCACGGCAAGCAAGGGTGAAACAAAATATAACATTTGATCATTTTGAAGTGCTCTCATTTTAGATATTAAATTATACAACAATATGATTGTGGGACTGACAAAATAACAATAATAATTTTTTAACATACATAAAATTTAAGGAATTCAATTTTTGTGAAGGAACTTTTCTTGATGGTGTTAAGAACATTTATCTAAGAATTTCAATAAGATTTGTATGCAATTATGGCATGAATCAACAATTAGCATCCCTGACTGAATACAATAAATATGATCACAAGCACACACTATGACAAGATATTATCATAACACAACAAAGTAAATTAACTTTATGCGTGAAACACTTAATTTACACTTAACAAGTAGTTAGCGAAGCATCTCTAAATGGCACATAACAGGCATATGGCATTTTATAGAAAATAAATGGCACCTAATAAGCCACTAATTTATTATAAAAAAAGAAGCTTGGAATGATACTATTTCCTGAATTATAGGCCTTTAAAATTAAAATAGTACTTCTAAATTAATATTTTTTTATCTATATCTAAATAATAACAAAATAATAACTTTCTAAATAATAACAAAATACAATTTCTTTACATAACTATTGATGAAGAAATAAATTTTAACAGGGTTTCTGAGGAAAACCATTTTATAAAAATTTTAAAGCTACATATACTATAATATAAGAAAGCTAATCTATCTACTGTAACATTTTTTCAAAGTCACAATGAAATTTCTCAGTAATTAAAGATTCCGAGAAACTACCTAGAGATATTGAAATGAAATTAAAATAAATTAGTATTCAATAAGTTATATTTTTTGATATTTATCCATTAAATTAAGAGCAACAAATAGAATTTATTCAAAATTCAGTAAGATGGATTTAATTTAGGTTTCAAAACAAAAAAATTTAAAAAGGGTTTGTTTCTAAAATATTTATAGGGATTTTTCACAAATAAAGAAACATTTGTGAGCAAATAAGTGACCTAAAAAAAAAAAAAAATTTTTTTTAAAATTGGCTAAACTTTTCCATATTAAACTTAATTTTGAATATATCTTACATATATTATCAACAAAACAAAAAAAAAGCATTAATAAATTTTATTTTGATATACGTTGTAAGCTAATTATAAAATCCAGCTCATTGAAAACTGTCACCATCACTCAGCAATGTTCCAGGCTAATCGGAAAAATCTTCAATCAGTCCAATACTTTTTAGAATTAAATGCAGATGCTTTTGCACCAATATGAAAAGATATCATTTACTACTCAATCAGCCAGATTTATTCTAGGCCATTTAAAATACGCCCAAATGCTTTAAGGGTTATTAGAAAAATATAATATTTATAGCTGAATTAGCCTGATTTTAGGCCAATTGCAATAAGCCAAAATGCTTTTAGGCTTGTTAGGAAATATATTCAATTAACCTATTTATCTAACAACTTAATTATTTATTAAGCCTCGTTGAATCGATTAGATTCAATCTACACTTATCTATTGATCTAAAGACAAAATGCTGGAAACTTTTCCATTTAGCCAGGCACATTCCACAATGAAAGCAACATTTGCAAAGATCAGGATTTTTTAATTATCTTATGACTAATAAATCCAAAAGTTATTCTCAAACCTAAAATATTTTGGAATAATCCAAAATTTTCAAGAAGTCATTTAAGGTTTCTGAAGAACACATTTTCAGTGTGTATCAAATTTAAAATCTTGCACAATTTAAAATGCAAGATAAGAATTTAAGAAAGCATCATAAAGGGAGGGGGAAGGGAACAACTTAGAAGAGTGAGGTAGTAAAATCATCAACTTTTAATTACATATCAAAAGCTTTAAAACTTTTTATTTTAAAAATTAAAAAACAAAAATCCTCAATTTGGTGAGGTAGTAAATGTAGACCCTACATTTTTCATTCTTAAAACTCATATACTATTATCTACACTCTATTTTAGCTGCTAGAACGTATATACAACACTGAACTGTGCTTAAATGAAAAATGAATAAAAATGACTATGATGATTTTACTTTTCACAAATGTACAAAATCAATTTCACGCCAGGTGCTATGCGTCTGGAGGTCCTGCAATGCAGACGCAGCTGTTCCTTTCGTTGGGGATGACCACAATGTGAGAGGGAAGAGCGGTAATGGAACGACACCTGTTGGGCAGCTCTTGAGAAGTTTCGTCCCCAGCAATCGAGAAACTACCACTATCATTAGGAATATCTGGAAAAAAAGTACATAAAATATTCTTTACTTCATATTTTATAAAAGCAGTTCAAGATGTAATATTTCAACAATTTAGTCCTCTGACATGGCTGCCACTCCAGAAACATTTCAAGACTGAACTTGTTTTTTGACCAATTAACATTTTGAAGAATTTTTCAGAAATTTATAGCTCTCTTTCCATGAGAATGGTCCAAATATTATTTAAAAAATAGATTATTCTTCATTTCATTAATTTTTACCGCATTTAAAAAAAATAAAAAAAGTTTTGTTTAATTTTTTTACACTACTTGCCAAAATACACTACTAATTTTATCTTGGAGCCATACATATTTCTTATTTAACTCTTCATCATCATTAACGCTTTGTCATAACATTAATTTGTCATTAAATTTGATATTTCAAGAAATATTCTTAATTTAATTTTGCCCACTATCACAAAATGTTGGGAGAAAAAATACAAACTTTAAGCAGATTTAGATTCAAGAGTATTTTGTTTAGACAAGCAGATGCTGAAAATCAATTGCATTCTTTTATTATGGTCAGGGGTCTGTCCAGACATTTTGTGAAAGGTCCGTTTTTTGTGAAATTGTGAAAAAATTACTCACATTCTTTCAACCAGGGTCCACTTTTATGAATTTGTGCAAATAGGGTCCGTTATTACAAAAAAAAAAACTTTTTCGATGAGTTTTTAAATTGTAAAGACATACAAGATTATGCTCAACACTGTAAAATTATAATTAAAAAAATTAAATTTTAAAAAATAAACAACAATTGCTGCTTCTAAATTAGAGATGCAACATACAAATATTTGGTATTTAGCCTATACTGCTGAACGCAGAATATTAATTTCGGACGAATAATGGAAGAATCGTCTGCCGAAGACAAAACTTAATTCGTTTACATCCATCTTTCTTGTTTTCTGCCCTGGAAAGGGTTTATTCGATTAACAAAATAATAATGAAGATAAACAAATTTGTGAAGGGTCCGATTAAAAGAAAAATCATTTTGTGAAGGGTCCGTTTTTAAGTTAAAATATTTTGTGAAGGGTCCGTTTTTAAGTTAAAATATTTTGTGAAGGGTCCGTTTTTATGAAAAGATATTTTGTAAAGGGTCCGTTAACGGACCCAAATTTCTTCTAAACAGACCCCTGATGGTGCAACATCGTTACTTAATCCTTTTGCAATAATTATGAAAAACAATGTTTTCATAAATAGCTATAATTTCTTTATTTTAACATAATATAATTATTACATTTTTAAAGAAAAAGTTAATGAAAACATAATTTGAAAAACAAATTGAAATTAAATATCTAATAAAGGACAGAAAATCATTCCACGGCTTTTTTTCTCAAGACTGACTTCAGTTCTCAGGACTGAAAAGTGGCACACATGTCTGAGTCCTTTTTACAAAAGTAGGTTCCTATTTAAAATATGAATTCTCCACATCTTTGTCTATCTACTAATATTCACATTTAAAAAATTAATTTATCGATTGATAGACAAAACAAAGAATTTCAAAACAAGAAAAAGAGTTATATTTGAACATTCGAGGCTTTTAATTTGGACTGATCAAACAACCGCATCAAGGAATAACAGCAATATTGATTTTTTTTTAATTAACTGAAGAAAAATGAAATGTAATTAATTTTTTAAGAGAAAACCATTGATTTAAAAATTTACAAAGCAATTTAATGAAATTGTTTAATTCCTACTTGTGTTGTGCCCCGTAGCGACACAGCAACATTGTCGCAGAACGTAACAGAGTTCTTGTAGGAAGATTTTGTTTTTCTGTTCTGCAGAAATATTGGGGAAGATTTTATCTTTTCTTCAGATTTATACTCAAAGGATGCCTTTCTCGTGCAAAAGTGCTTGGATAAAAATGCTTGTGTTTTTTTATTATTTTTTATTCTCATTTAAAAATAATGCAAAATAAAGAGTAATGAAGTAAAAAAATTCAGTTTTTTCTTCTGCAGAAATGTTTGTTCTATTTTTATGCAGTTATTACTATACTATTGATTTCCATAGTTTCTAAAATCCTATATTTTTAATACTACATTATTTAATACAATCTCGAAATGAAAACACGCATTTAGTAACCCCTCTTTGAAGAGTCCTATTCGCATGATTTAGCAATCCTATCTTCTTTTTGGTAGTTACTGCTACACTTTCAATTTTTTAAAACTATTTTTTTTAATGTGATGATATACAAAATGCGAAAAAGGAAATAATTATTGCTATTGATTATTACTATGAGAATACCTGTTATAATTAGAATTTTAAAAAAATATTACATATTCAATTAAGAAAATTATTTTATCAGAAGTCATTATTATTATTCTTTTATGTTGAAGCTTTTGTTACTTTAAATAAGTAACATGTATATTTGTCATAATTAAAAGTGTCTCGCAGAAAGATATTAATACTAGAGAGGTATGTCGCAAAAAGCAGCCTGAAAAAATTCTGCCACAGGGATGCTATGTACATTACATACTTGTAAATAAACAGTCATTTATAGATTGAGAAATTACTTAAACCAACCCTGAATTTCAACAATAAGAGAAATATTACAATAATACTGAATAGAACTACAGGGGTCTGTCCAGACATTTTGTGAAAGGTCCTGTTTCTGTAAAATTGTGAAAAAATTACGCGTAATAAACGTTAAGTCACAATCTTTCAATGTGAATTTGTGCAAATAGGGTCCTGTTATTGCAAAAAACTTTTATAAGGAGTTTTTAAATTGTAAGTAGTTACAAGATTATGCTCAACACTGTAAAATTATAACTAAAAAAATTTAAATTTTTAAAAATAAACAGCAATTGCTGCTACTAAATTAGAGATGAAACATACAAATATTTGGTATTTAGTCCATACTGCTGAACGCAGAATATTCATTTCGGACGAATAAAGGAAGAAGCGTTTGCCGAAGACAAAACTTAGTTCGCTTACATCTTTCTTTCTCCGGTTTATTTGATTAACAAAACAATAATGAAGATAAGCAAATTTGTCAAGGGTCCAATTATAAGATAAATTATTTTGTGAAGGGTCCATTTTTAAGTTAAAATATTTTGTGAAGGGTCCGTTTTTAAGTTAAAATATTTTGTGAAGGGTCCGTTTCTATGAAAAGATATTTTGTGAAGCGCCCATTAACGGACCTAAATTTTTTCTAAGCAGACCACTAAACTAACTAAATTAAAAATTTAAATATTGCTATTAACCTTTTGGTAGCCTCAGGAATCTGGGTGAGTCACTGCTCCAGTTGCTGACCGATGCTAATGTTGCACTCCGCGGAAAAGTGGAAAACCCAGAATCTCTCTCGGTCGTATCGCTGTCGGTCCGAAGCAAAGACTCGAGGGGAGGATTACATTGTATGTGAGAGTTCTCTCCTCCTAGCTGCTCTGCGGAGTACGATCGTTGAACAGTGTCCAAAGGCCACCTTTGCGGCCGACAGTGGGTCAAGCTATAATGACCATTAGAATTTTCCCCAAGTGCAGGAAATTGTTTCTCAGAATTTTTGAGATTAGTTCTAAAAGTGTGCAACAAGGGTACTTGTTCTCTGCAGTGAACACCAGAAACACATGGATCTTGAACAACTTGAATGTCTTCACCATTCTCCTGCGATTCAAGGAAGTGGCTTCGAATTGGAACTAAAAAATAAAAAGCAAACTTATTATAAGAGTAAAATGATGCTGTTTTAAGTTAAATTTAAAAATAAAAACAGAAAAATAAAAAGCTATCAATATTGTTGTATCAATAAATATCTCCAAATGATGTTTCAGGTTAAATATCATAATTCAGAAAATCCAATAATTTCAGAAAATTTTCACTTAATTTCAGACTTCAGATGAGAATTTTCTGACAATTTTCTGGTTTTTAGAACAATTATCGAATTTTCCTCCTAGGTCTATCTTGATCTGTGGAAAAGTCAAACTAAATAATTTCTTTAAATTAGATTTAAAAAAGGTTCTCACTTAATTTCAGATTTTAAAGAAAAAAAATTGTATTACAGGAAAATGTCAATGTAAATCCAAATAATATTTTATTTATATCACCAGATGTAATTTTTCATTGAAATTTTTTTCTTTCTTCAAATATCAGATTTTGTGAGCAAAAAAATATCATTGAATGAGGATGAAAACATAGAAAGTTTCACTAAAATGTGAAATTTTTATAACAAATAATTGTAATAGATGTTAGAATTATTTTAATTAAATCTCCATGACTGATTACTGTTACTGACAATTCTAAAACAGGGATGATGTGGGAATTTTCCAGGTTTTTGTGGAAAAAAATAATAAATAAATAAAAAGCACCTTAATCGGACTATTCTCTGCTTCTAAGAGTCAAAATAAAATTCCTTGACAATTCCAGGTTTTCCCTCTACTCCCTGACCATTGGGAGTCTTTAAAACTTAACTTTTTAAAACTGAATTAATAAAATGGTCCTTTACCTCTTCCATAAGTAGAGGGCATTTCAATTAGAAGATCATGATCATCTTCTACCAACATATCATCACTGCTTTGTTGACCACTGTCTCCTGTGCCACTGTCTTTTGAATGACCTAAAAGAATAAATTTTCATTTTAACATTCACTTACTACTTTAAGATTAACTAACAGCTCACTGACTATTTTAAAAATTAACCAATTAGTTGTCATACTCGCATTTTAGAGACAGTTTTCAAATAGAATTCAGAATTATTTCTTCTACAATAAATATTCTTGTTACATAATTTTTTCAAAAGCAACACAAATCAAGCTTCATTTAAAAATATTTTATATCTACTGGAATATAAAATGCTTTTATTATGTTAATTAAAACAATTTTGAATAGAGTTAGATATTAAATTCATTTTGGATAATTAAAATACATTCTTTAATTAGTTTAAGAGTTTTGATTTAAAAGAATAGTGAAAATTTTTAGATAATTAAACTGCAAAACTCCAAACAGATTTCTATAAAAGAGGTTTATTTAATCATTTAGATACAATACTTTTTCTTTTACAATATTGAGTGATTTTTTTTTTTTTTTTTTGAAACACACAAAAGCTATGAGAATTTTTTATTACAACAGCAACAATGAATTTAAATAAGAATTGCATTGAGTAAGGATGGTAATTGTACCAGATTGAGAATCAAGAAAAAGGTTCCTGCCAGAAGGACGCCTGAATTCCTTAGGACATATCCCCGAGCAAGAGCTGTATGGAGCCAAATCAGAAGAGTGAACAGAAGAAGTGGCTCCCCCTTGTGGGTACTCCTCAGACCGCTTTCTTGTGTGATATATGATGACAACCCAGATTATAGATGTACCAACAATACAGATCACAACTGCAATGACTATGACGCCAGTAGTGGTATGACTTTCTTCCACTGCATATCCATTCTGAGAGACTAGAATAGAAAAAGTTTGTTTCAAATAATACAATTTAAACAAGGCATTACAAGAGGGGTTTCCTTTATGGTGCTCTAAGTATTTAACATTTATTAATCTTGCAGGAATTGAATTCTCCATTAACTTGAAAGTGTGGTTCACAATAGTGATTTCAAACCACAGACTTAGAAGTTGGGCAGTTCCAAGAGCAGGGTACATCGACCAGAGGTCTATTGTACCCAAACCCTAAATCATGATTAGCAAAAAAGCCCTAAAGCTAAAATAAAATTCAGCAAACACCTTACAGGAACATCTTGCAGTTCCCAGGTCCTAATGCAATGCTGCCCTAAATGCTCAAATCTTCGAGCAGAATAAACCTCACAATCACAAAGTATATGTTGTGATGTCTCTTCTTCATTATGACAACATCGACAAAGAGAATTAGATTAAATTCCCATTATGTATAGGTGTCTCCTGAGGATGCAGTGTCCAGTGAGAAGACCAATAATCTTCCTCATACTGTTCCTATTAAGCTTTAAAAGCTCTTTTTGATGTACACTAGGACAGTCACGATTCAGCTCCTTAGCTTGTCTCTGATTGCTCATGGGCAATTTTGTATAGAGCTTGAATAACATTAATCTTCACACATCACTAAATTATATTCTATTCAGATTTTGTTGAAAAAATTTATTTAATAGTTGACTTTTCTAATCTAGGTTAGTAACTGCATTTTGTAATTTGCAGAATAATATCAAAAAACATAGCTATAAAAAGAATAATAAGGTAGAACACACAGGTAACAAAACACAGTTTTTTGTTGTTATTTTAACACAAATTGCAATGTAGTGTCTTTTATAGAACCAAGTAAAAACAAAGTTGTAAAATTTGAAATAGTTTTTCACAAATTTTACATCCTTAAAAATTTTGATATTTTACTTTATAATACTTGAAAGTAGGAAGACACTCACCTTGCATAACTTTCAATTGACTAGAACCTCTTTCCGTCCCCAGAGTATTGGACATTTCACAGGTGTAGGTGCCAGCATCAGATGCCTGCGTCTGAACGATGATCAGAAGTTGGTCACCAGCAGTAAAGAAGTGTCTTTCAGTGGCATAAAGAGAGCCACCGTCTTTCGTCCACTTCAGTTTCGGCCTAGGGCTGCCTGATGCCAGGCATTCCAGGACGGTGGTCTCGCCGGCCCTCGTCTCTTTGTCTTCCATTTTTTTCACAAAGGAAGGAGTTTCTATAAAAGAAAGGAATTTCAATGCACACCCAAATATAAGCAGGGTTCTCATTCAATTTCAATTTCTAGGTGTTACAGGAAAATTTTGGTGAAAATCCAGGCAATATTTTATCTACATGCAATTTTTCATCGAAATACTCTTTATTATATTTTATTTGTAATGTCAAATATTAGACTTAGTGAGCAAAAGAATATCATTGAAAAAGGATGGAAACATGGAAAATTTCACTAAAAATTGGAAAATTCGATTAGATTTTAACCGAATCTGAATCGTTGCTGATAATTCTAAGACTAGTTATTTTCCAAGTATGATGTAGAAATTTTCTAGGTTTTTGTTTCTTTGGTGTTTGTTTCTTTGGGGGGAGGGGGGAATTTCCTAACTTTTCCCTACTTTTTAGAGTCAAAATTAAATTTTCTGACAGTTTAAAATTTTCCCTGTTCTCTTTGCCCCGTGGGAGCTCTGAAACAATAAAAGCAAGTTCTTATCTAAATAAAGAGAAACAAAACTTTTCGATGTAATAAAAATGATTTTCAGTAACAACTAATAACTATTCTGTTGGACATCAAGAATAGAATGTTTTATGACTGCTCTTCAAAGCTATCTGACCAGGTAAAAGAAAGCCGCAATTTTAATATTCAATTTTTATTTACATAATATTCTATTAATTAATTGTATGAATAAATATAAATTGATCAATTATTTATTTACAAAAAAAAAATTTTCATTTAATATCAATAAGAATGTGTACACGATGTTCATAAAAGTAGAATATTTTCTTAGAATACTGCATTTGGAACTTAAACTTAGGGAAACTTGGAAAACTTAGTTCGTTTCGAACTGTCTTCCTTTTTCTTCCCAGGAAGGGTTTATTTGATTAACAAAACAATAATGAAGATAAACAAATTTGTGAAGGGTCCGATTAAAAGATAAAATATTTTGTGAAGGGTCCGTTAACAGACCCAAATTTCTTCTAAACAGACCCCTGCTTTAAGTTACTGGTTTTTTTGGACCAATAACTAAAGAAATAGGACAGGTCTTTCGGACCAGTGATTTAAGGTGGGTTGCCTTAAACAACAGTTTGATGAGTTAAGAATTTGTTTTAAGGATTTTAAGAACTCGTAAGAACAATGATAATGATATTACTACTACAAACTGCAATGTAAACATTACCTAATACAGTAAGGGTGACGTTTGCAACAATGGTGCCAGCAATATTAGAAGCGGCACAACTGTAAACACCAGTGTCACTGGGCTTCACACCAACAATGAAGAATACATCATCCGTTGGCATGACATGCATGCGGCGTTCTTTAGCTGCTGGAAATTCCTCACCGCCACCATCTTTCCGCCAAACAATTTCAGGGCGAGGTTGTCCCTTTGCTCCACACTCGAGCCTAGCTGTACTGCCAGTTTTGATGGCTAAATCGGAAGGGGTCTTGGTAAAAACTGGAAAGACTGTAAATGAAACATTTAACATTAATATTCTTAGAAATACCATCATTTTTTCATGCTTTGCATTAACAAAATTTATAATAAAACTAAGCCATGTTCATTTAACAAATTCAATTCATGCAAGCTAAATTACATCAATTACTATATAGAAAACCTAGAAAAGACATACAACATGAAACCCCTAATGAGTGATCATGTCTTATTAGTAAGTACAATGATAGGTTAAGTGAATTAACAAATAACACATTTAGTCGTTAGAAAGTAAAAACACAAAAATTTAAAAAAAACATTTATATATTGTCATTAAATTGCATGTAAAAAATGTGTTGCTATACAAGTAGGCCAGAAATATTAGTAGCTGACTCTTATAAAAACAAATGAATTAAAATATGATAAAATTAAGTAACAAAACTTAAGCCTATGATTTATTTTTGTTAAAAACAATAAAAACTTATCAGAACACTAAAATTTGATTGTTAATCTCCAGTTATTGCTAATGTTATGACGCCNATTTATTTTTGTTAAAAACAATAAAAACTTATCAGAACACTAAAATTTGATTGTTAATCTCCAGTTATTGCTAATGTTAAGTCAGTTATTCTAGTAATTAACAAATTTTTTGCAAAATCTAATGATATAAAACAAAAAAATTTTACAATTGTAAAAACTCAAATGTTCAAGCGCATTATTTTGAGGAAAATGTTAGAAACATAAAATCCTTGTCTCTCATCCATTAAAACTGACAAGACTTAACTGATTGAAATTGTTAAAAACCATACAAGTTGGCATGCATATATATTCAGGGGTGATTGTGAGCCCAAGTCAAAATTCCGGAAAATTTCTTGAGTAAGAAAAAAAAAATTTTAAATCGAAGAATTAGAAAAAAATCCTTTTTTCCTTTTTCTCAATACTTCTTAGTTTACTTATAAATTTTACACATATCTATACCATTTACACATACCAATGATGACTTGGAGAAGTAATTGAAATTTACAAATATGTCTTTCTTTGTTGAGTTTATGATTATAATAACTATTTACTGATAAAAAAAATGAATATTAATCTTGAATATAAGCTTATAAAGTATCTGGCTCTCCCTTACAAACAAATAAAATAAACTGAGTTTTTAAGTTCCACCTTTGAAAATTTGATTTCCTGAAACCTTTGTGATCAATGATTTTTTTAAACGTCCTAACCTTCAATCTCCGGAAACTTCCGGATCACGGTTTGCTCACGGAAACTTCCGGTCCAGATTTTTTCCGGAGCACAATCAGCCCTGTATATTTTAAAAGAATAGGAGGTAGTAATAAATGTACTTACTATGCACTGTTATCCTTGCTTTGCTTGAATACACAGAACCAAATTTATTAGTGATAACACACTGATAACGCCCTTCATCCTCATCCTGTATATTTTTGATGTTCAAAATGCTGGTGAAAGTAGTGTAATTACCTTGAACAATATCAAAGTTTCTAGTGGGATGACGAATAGAGTTGAGTAGCTACAGAAAGGAAAAACACTTCTTACATACGTACAAAATATATCTTAAAAATAAGTTACAGAAATACATATTATCAACTAATAATGGTTTGAAACCACTGTAATAAATAAGGAGAAATTCCAAGCTTTTAAATAAATATAAACAAACTATTTTTAAAAAGAAAACATAAAAATCCAACTGACTTGTCAGAAGAAATAAGTCAATGGTAATATATTTGTGAACGTCAAAAATTGTGATAATGAGTTTTCAAAATGTTTTATAAGTTCAGATCATTACCCTTTTATAATTATATCAATAATTTAACAGGGTGCTTAACCAAGTTATTTAAAAAATATATAATCACCTTTTAAGCATTTGGCAGGGTTGGAAAGTTTTTGACAATTGACAGTTTTATCTTGTTTTAACCATCATGTCCAAAAATAAAAAACTTTTGGCATTGTTTTTGACAATCGTTTAAAATCATGAAGTTTTGAATCAAATAAAATGAATGGCGTTTTCATACGCTACGGACTGACAATACGCCGAAATAGATTGAGGTTGAATGAATTGTGAAAACGTTGAATAGAACAATGTTTTTGCATAACTCGCAGCTAAAATCAACATGGTAAAGGAAAAAACTCATTTTGAAAAAGGGAAAATTAAGCACTTTTTAAAAACACCCAATGAAAAAAGCACCTTTAAGGGCTTTTAAAAAACGGAAGCCGAAAATAAGAACCTTTAAGCACTTTTTAAAAACGATATGCACCCTGTTTAGAATTCTAGATTAAATCTCTGGTTTGGATTAAATCTCTGTTTGGACATAGCAAATGCAGCTATATATATTCTTAACATAAGCTTTTTAATTATAAAGAATGATAGCAAAAATTTAGATACACATAAAATTTTTGGTGAAATTTTAAAATACTATATATATATAATTTTTTTTATTGTGAAACAATTCATATTTTATGCTCTTTCTTAACAAGCATAGACAGATTTTAAACAAATGTCTAGGCAAGGCATTGCTTATTTTAATTTATTTATTAATTGTTTCAATTGCAAAATTTTAGAAAACAGATAGATAGTTTTTAAAATTAACTTAAAAGCCAAATAAAATTAAGAAATTGGGTAAATTACCTTTCCATCTTTTCTCCAGTGAACTTTGCAAGCAGAGTTACTGGTGCTTCTAGCCTGACACTCCAAAGTGACATTCTCGCCTTTCAGCGTCTTCTTCTCCACTGGTTCTTTAGTAATGATCGGCTTAGGAGAGCTCTCTAAATATCAACAAACACACATCATTCAATTTCACCTTCATTTTTTTAACTAAAATATGAGAGAACTAAAATGAAAAATACATACCACACAACATTTGAGTTTGGGGTACATCAAATACTGAAATCCCAGCTAGCCTCTCGGGGTAGCCGCACTTCGCTTGTACTCTGTATCCGAACGTCCTGGCCATCCATTTCAGGTGACAATCACACAACAGTGAACTAGTATTCATATGGCTAAAAAATAAATCAAATCTCTTTTAGAAATTTCGATTTTACAAAAAAAAATATAAAAAATAAATAAAATACTAGAGTATAAACAATTCTCGTAATAGAGTATAAAGTAAATCTAGGAAGCAGTATAGACTCAATGTTCCGAAATGTCACCAATTAAAGACATTATTTCAGATTACTAAATAATACATGCCTACATTCAATGATAACCTAATCTGTTTTGAACCAGGATTAGAAAAATTACTCCAACAGTCAAAAAACATGGTAAAAAAAATCTTAAACAGATCTAAATTAATTAATTAATAATATTAAATTGCAAGCTATTTCATACATCATTTAATTTTAGATATCATTATTAAATTTGTGAAAACTAAGAAGCAAAATTAGAAAGGAAATAAATTTAATGAATTTCTTCAAAAATTAAAAATAACTGTAGTCCCTCCAATATTTTATGTAATTGAGCATAATAGAACTTTATTTTAAAATTATGTAACTAACTGTTAAAATAACACTATAAAATTGAATTAATACTAACTACTAAATGAATAAATCTCTTACTAAAAATTATTACAAATTAAATATTGTTAAGTATGAATGCTCAAACAAACTCTTAAAATAATGATATATAGACTGTAAAATGATGTATTAAATAAAAATAAATAGGAAATACCTATTTTCTTAAAAATAATAATGTAGAAATTAACTTTCCAGAAGTAAATTTAAGATATACTTATACTAATTGCTACGCAATTGTATTTGCCATGTTTAGTTTCTTATATTTCGTTCAGTTTCCCCTCCTCAAATTCCTGGAAGAAATACATTTCTACTGGGAAATGTGTCTACTGTGTTTTAAACTACTATTGTTAGATAATGAAAAATTTTGCAGACTTAGTATTAAAGCAAATGAGTTTCATCTAAACATTGCACATCATTTTGAATTCAAATGTTTTCAAATGATTCAAATGTTTCATACACAATATTTCAAGAAAACTAATCACCAAAGTATATGGTTTAGCTGTTCAATACAAGTGATAAAATAAATATTTTCTGTCGAATTTAATTTTCTATTTGCTTACATTCAAACAAGCACATGCCGATTATCTAACTGCATATTTCAATGACATATAAAATTCTTATATAATGCATATGTGGCATAATTCTCTTAATTCTGATGGTATCTAATGCACAATAGTGATCTAAAGTGATCAGTGAAAAAAATCAGGACAGTATTTTTCTAGAAAAAAAAAAGGATATTTCTGGAACAGTATATATACATAATAGACTACTTTTAAAAACAGCAAACATCAAACTAAAGAAAATATAACAAAATATACCATTTTTTAATTTCAGAATTATTTTGTATAAAACAGAAAATTCTAACAGTTTGAGAACAATATACAGAGTGTTTTAAAAAGCTCTATTAAAAAATAACCAATATCTTAACAGTTAATATTTATTCATGAAATATTTGACGAAAATTTGTATTGGAGTTCAATAATTTTTTTAAAAAAATTTGGCGTAGGGTTTCAACAATTTTGAAACATACACACAATGAATTTGCTGCTTAACATTTCTATATAAAAGGAATTTAGTGGGTGATCTAATTAAGATAAGGACTAAATATAGTTATGGAAATCTAAAACTCAACCCTGCAGAATTTTTCTGTATTAACTAATAATAATAAATAAGCATATGACCTTTTAATTCATCGGCATAAAACATTGATAATGTAAAATTGATGATTGATTTTTCCCATTTTATTATAAAATTATTTTTATAAATAACTACCAAAATTTTGCGATTTTTGCAAGTATTAATTAAAATAAAAAGTTGGATAGAAAATCAAACTCCAAATTTTTTTAAAACATACATTTATAAAAAAATAGAAGATTCTGAACACACATAAAAATCAGAAATATAAGGTGAAAAAACTAAAAATTAAGACAAATAAGAACAAACAAAAAAATTTGTCAAGAAAATCAGAAATACAAGGACAACTATGATCCTGGATTCTATAAATTTAAAAAAAAATTACATATTCATAGAAAGTTGCAAAACTTACATTTCCAGAAGATGTGTCATACTTGAAAAAGAATTTTCTTCTATGGTAGTTATTTCATTTTGGGTCAAATTCAGTACTTCCAGCCTTGAAAGATCACTAAATGCTCTTTTAACTATGGCCTTGATTTCGTTATTGGCTAAGCCTAAATATTTTAATCTGACTAGACCAGCAAAGACTTTGCTCGTATCTTCTATTGTCCATGACACTTCATTGTCTTTCAGTTCTCTGAAAATAATAACAAAATTTTCAATAAAATGATCAATCGAAAGTAATAACTCACTGGCAGTTTATTTTAACTGCTTTGAAATGCTCACAATTTTTTTTCATTTACAACTGTAGTCCAGACTAATTTTTCCCACTCTCTAATCAGAAAACTATGGTACGAATGGTAAATTATCTCCTATGAAATCCTAGATAGTCTCTTATCTAATTCCAGATAGACAAAAAAAAATAATATAATAATGAACACTTATTTTTGGGTACAGGAAATGGAGTGATGCTTTTCAAGCACATAACCATTTGGGAAGATTAAATAAACAAATAACGTAACTTTCCACATGCAGAAATTCTGATAATTCTGATGATTTAATTCAAAGTACAAAAAGTAATTGCTTTAAATTTAGCTATATTTTCATACCACTTCAGCTCATCTATGAAGAACTATTAATACTTAAAAAGAGTAAATCTGAAAATGGAAATATGTATTTATCTTTGTCTCCTTTCATAAGCATTTTTACTTAATAAACAAATAGAAAATAGTATACTAGCATTTGTAAGCTTACACATTTTTTTTTGGCAGCAATAACCATTACCTGATTACATCACTGTAATAAAATAAAATTTTGAAACAATATTTAACATTTTAACAAAAGCTATTAGGAGAATAAATAATACTATTCTTGAACTATTATCTTTTATACTTAATACTTTTATACTTTCTTGAACTATTATCTTTTAACTATTTTGAAGTAAATACTAGTGATGTTTAAAGTAATTGTGAAATTAATTATAAAAAAAGTTACTAGCATTTTTATTTTCAACACAAAATAATGAGACCAAAATATCTGAGTAATAATATATGCTTAAATGCAAAAATAAAGAACTAACAATCAAATTACTAGCATGCAAATGACTAGGGTGACCTGGGGTGATTCCTGATTTAAAAAAATGCAAACATCTATGTTGTGAAAAAAAAACTATTTAAGATAGAATTTTAATATTTATTGGAAGTTTGAGGTTTTATGAGATGAGTCCTATGCTACCTTCTTTTGTTTGAAAATCTAATTAGAATTTAAAAGACTTAATAATTAAGAAATAATAAAAGACTTAATAATTTTGAGTGATCAGGAATTACCCCGTCTCTTGATCATTTCTGCGGTAATTACTGATCATCAATTTTTATAGTAAAGGGGCAGTTTAAAAATAATTATACAATGGTAATTAACAGATAAGATATCAAGATCAAACAAATAAACCAAAAAGATATGTTTAAGCAGCCAATAAAGCAATTTATTTAAAAGCAAGAATAAAGATTTAACAATTTAAATTTTCCAAATATCTTTGCATGGTGCCATACATTTTAGACAAGCAGCCAACTTATTCTCATGTTCTGCTGGAATATAAGAAAGAGTTCTCCCATAGGTTACTTTTGCTGGATTTTTTAACTTCATTAAGTGAGAGTGTAAAGTTAAGTAAGGTATGTCAGCAGCTCTGGCAACAGCTCTCACACGGAAATTTTCATTTTCAATCATTAAAAGAAATTCACTAACTTTGCTTTCTAGAAGCTTAGTATCCTTTGTAGGCTTATAATTTCTCACAATATTTATATTAGGCTAATTTATAAACTTAAAAATTATTCTAACAATGTACACACATAAAATTAAGAAAGAAGCTAGGTAAGACAAACCAGAAATGGTGCAAATCAGAACACATTTGTCTTGCATACAGTTAAAAATAAATTTTGTGATTACAGTTAAAATACATTTTATAGTTGTCCCACTTAATAAATATGAACTGTAATTTAAGAAAAGACAATTAGCTATTTATTAGCTATTTTTTATACTATTTATAAGATGAAATGACAATGATCAAGAATTACCCCAGTGATCAATAATTACCCCATCTGTAGGGGGCAACATTTGATATAGTTTCCTATAATCAATTATAATGTTTACAGTAGATGTGAAACAATTAAACAAAAGCTTACACTATTTTTATATCAAAGAAAAAGAAAGCAACTCAAACTATTTATTACTAAGAGAAGAAGGGGGATATCCCCAGAAATGTGCACATTTTGAAACCCATCTTTGAAATGGAAAATACAGAAAGCAGTTTAAAAGATACTTATTTTGTTAAATTAAACAAAAAACTATTATTAAGTAAATATAGTTATACTTTAGTAAAGTGTACAAGCATTCTTGTCCATGTCTCAAATTTAAAAAAAAAATTTTTTTAATAAAACTAAGGTGATTATTATTTACCCCGGAAACAGAGTGATCCTATTAAAAAAAATGTCACCCTATTAAAAAAATGTACAAGGAACAGAACAATTTGCACACTGAATTAAAAAACTATTTATGATTTATTTTTTTTAAACACTTGAGAGATTTGTTTGATAAATTCGCATTCTGAGGTTCTAAATTAGGTTTATTTGAAATCAAATTAAAATTATAAAAAAATAATAATAATAAAATTTAACAATAAAGTAGATACAAATACATAGACATAAGATGATACATATATTTAATTAAATACATACATAAAGATGACCAAATACATAGTTGAAAATAATTAGAAATACACACCGATCTAAAATAAGCACTTCATTTTAAAATTTAGTAAAATTATATTTCTTTTATTAAAAACAAGTTTGGATGATAATACAAAAAATGTCAGTTTCTAACTGCAATAATTTTTACAAATTCTTTAAAAAAATTAATTTAATATTTAAGATTTTTAAAATCCTTCTTCCTTTTTTCTTATGAAATAGTGATCTAAGAGGTTACTTACAAAACTTGAAGTGCTCCCAGTGAGCGAAAAGAATCCTCCTCAATATAGGTGATCATATTATCACCTAAAACAAGTCTTTTCAAAGCATACAACTTATCAAAAGCCTTGGTGGAAATTGTTTGCAATTTATTATTTGACATATCCCTAAATAAGAGAAAGAGAAGAAAAAAAATTATAATATGTTCCAATATGCATTAGGCAGTGTTCTCCCTGAGCGGTTTTTGAAGGGTGGCCTGCCCTTTGATCCCTATAAATGCTGTTTGCCCTTTATATAAAAATAAGCCACCATCTTATAAAAATGCGGCCTCTTTACTCTGATCCATTAAGAAAAATTAATTAACTGTTAAAATAATTATACAGAAACATTTATTTGTGCTTATAGGTTTAATTCTGATTACTATTACAAATACTTACTTAGTTAGGATTATTCTGCACTGGCTAAATTTATATGTGTTTCTTTTTTACAAGGGGGAACATTATATAATTTATAAATGAACTTAAATTGTTTTTTATATAAATACCTTTTTTTTAAAAAAAAATTCACCTTTAAATGTTTATTTCCTAATAATTTTCAGTATAAATTACAGAAGAAATATTTTAAGTCGCTTATCAAAAAATATGTTTCTTAGTTTATTTTATTTGAAAAATATGCATGCATAAATATTGTCACTTAGCATTACTTCAATTATTATTTATAAACTACAAATTTTTCGCTTATTTAGATAATGACTGAAACTTACTTTTTGAAATATACACATAAAATAGCATAAAACGGTAACTTAAAAAATTATTGAGGATCAAATTCAGTTTTAACACTTTTTGACAAATTTAAATAGCGTTAAGTGAGAACCCTTTTTAATTCCTAGGGAGAACTCTGCATTAGGACAATTAAAAACTATATTGTAAATTTCCTTACAATTCAACAAGTCTTTTCCCAGAATCCCAGGCATCGTCTTCAATTTCAGATATATTGTTGTTGAAAAGGTACCTAAAAATATTTGAAATAATTGTATTTTAAATTCAATAAATATATAAAATGAAGCAAGATTTCAATTAACACATTTAGGTTTTAGTTATCCTTTTGGGGTTAGTTAAAATCTTAGATACAGATAATTTTTTGACACTTTCCAAGTACCCAATAACTGTTTATAATTTTTTAAATAATGCATGTTTTTGTACTAATAGTAAACCTTGTGATACAAAATGAAAAAAATAGCACTTACAGCTTTACGCTATTTCAATTTACTACTGACTAGCTAAATACCCGTTTTTAGTACAGGGCATAAAAAAAAAAAATTCAACAAATTAAAATCATTACCAAACACTACAAAATCATGAGCAAAACTGACAGATATTTACTGGCACAATTAGTAAAGCTAAAATAATTCTGCCGTATTTATTCATTATTAATCATCGCCTTTCAGGTTGATTTCACTTTATAAGATTTAGCAAAACAAGTTTATAGTAGCCAATTCCTTCAATACAAAGATTAACTATATTCAGTATCATCTGGTATAATGTTGTTACTCAAGGACAACTCATGACATTTTAAATTAACCACTAACAAGCAATTTTTTTCCTGTGCTTATATCATTGAGCGGCCGTAATAAACCTATTTCCACAGCATCTATCTATCTAAAATAAAATAAAAAGTACAGTATTGGTGTAGTTTTTTTAGGGCTTAAATATACTCATAAAGTACTTTGAACTTATATTAGTATATTTAGCACCTATTAAAACTGCACCAATTACCAAATACTGGCAGTGCATATTACCAAAAATAAGTAAGTATCATTTGTGTCAATATAGTATGACAGTTTTTTTGTATCTATCCTGAACAAATTAGTAGCATTTAGTACCACTATTTGATTGGTTTTTAGTACAGTAGCTTATTTTATTTATTTAAATTAGTGACTCTTACAAAACTAATTAAATATCATGGGTGTCAAAAATGGTATGGCATGTTTTGACAATTCTCTTTAGTACAATAGCTTCATTAATTTTGCTTCACAGTAAAAAGCTTATTATTATTTTAACTTCAATTAGTTCTTATTACCAAAACTAATTGAACAATTCTGGTGTCAAAATTGATAAGAAGATTTTTTACTTTTTCCTTAAACGAATTAGAACAATTTCTCAATTTCTTTTGTGTTTTAATATGTAACTTTTTTTAAAATTTAATTAATACCTAACATCAAAATTAATTAAAAATCATTGGTGTCAATAATAGTTTGCTGATTATATATTTTTTTTACGATTTTTGAAATCAATTTCAAAAACTTAACTATAAACAAAATTAGCACGTGAACAGCTTTATGAGTAAATATAGCCTGTCTTTGCTACAGCGTTCATGTTGATCATTTAGATTATCTGACATAGCGAATAAAACTAATTAAATGTTGAAGGACAAGGAAATAAACTCCTGGGAGCTATAAGTTAGCCAACATCACTGATGTTATATTTGGAAAAAAAAAAGAAAAGAAGTTTATAGTTTAATTTTTATCAATGGTGATTTCTAAGCCCAAAAAACAATTATATTTTTTAAAGGTTTCTTTTGAACAATCTAATTGAAAATTTTTAGGATCAGGGGCTAAAAGGACCTCTTTCACCCACTATTCAAATTTTAGAAAGCTAACATTAACAGTTCAAGGGTTATAAAACTGACACACACAGGCTAACTCTTCATTTTATTACTATTAGAAATGCATCTAGATGAACCTACATCAAAGTAAAAAATAGCCAGGTACTCAGGCACTATTTGAACACTTTTATTTTTGTGAATAATGATCACAGTGACACAAATGCATAATAAATACTTCAATTATTATTAGTAGTAGTATTTTTTTTGAAGTAAATAAATAACCAGTGCAACTCAATAATTTTACAAATGTTGACTTAAAACAGACTGAATTCAATTTTCGAGGCTACATAATTTTAAATAAGAAATAATGACTCGTATTTTGAATATTGTTTGCGTTTTATATCGGCAATATTAAAAATGTAATTTGCTGATGACCCAGGAATCAATTATAGAAAGGAATTGAGGAAAAGATTTAATTATAAATTTAAAGAATCCAAATAAATTCCAAGAATTAATAAAATTTCCAGGGGTGGTTAATAAAATATTTCTGCTCAATACTTACAATCGTTGCAGTGAATTTAAGCCATACAGCCATCCTTTGGTGATTTTCCCAATGTTGTTGTTATCAAGGGACCTAAAAACAAATTCAAAAGTTAGTGCTTGAGAAAAAACTTTTTACAGTAAGTACATTCAGTCATTAAAAGAAAAACATTCAATTGTTAAAAAAAAATTCATCAATACTTACAGTTTCTTAATACTATTGAGTCCATAGAATGCACCATCCTGAAGATTAGTTATCCCACTGTGTCTCAGTTTTAAAGCTACTAAAGAGGCCAGCCCCTGGAAACTAAGACCCTCAATGGTCGTAAGACTATTTGAATTGATTTCACTGAAAAATAAAACATTTCCATTAGCAAGTGGTTAGTTACAAATTAATCAAGTTACAAGTAGAGTTTATCAACTTACTAAATTTGAAAACATTTTTTTTTACATCTTAATATTTTTTTAATATATGCAAAGCCATAAAAATGTCAGTTACAAAAGTCCTAATTAGACACATTTTTACAAACCATTTTTTTATATGAAAAAGTGAAAATGCCTAATAAAATTAAAAAGCCATTCATTAAAGTCACATATTTTTACTTATTTACTTTTATTTATTTATTTTTGTTAGAAAGTTATAATAACTAATTGCTTAACTACGAATTAAATTTATCTTATTATGAATAATTAATGTTTGGATTAAATTAGTGCACTAAAGAAATCTTACGTTAATATGGTTAGTAATAAACATAGTTAACTTATTAGTGGTTTAAATTTTAAGAATATTTCTTATAATTTATGTGATTTTTCACTCACACACATATTAAAAAATTTCTTACATTTTTTATCACAACTAAATAATTTTTTTTTTCACAAAAAAAAAGTTAAATTATATTAAACATATGAATTATTTTACTTATTTCTGTTTTATCTTAAAGTTAAGAATAATTGTATAAACTTTTTTACCACCACACTGTTGTCATTTAATATTAATTCGTAAGTAATTACCCCTCTGTTATTCAATAAATAGTTATTAGCTTTTAATTCTTTATTTACATTAATAATTCATTAACAAATAAAATTTAATAACTTATTAATGAATAAAATTTAATTTAATAAAAATAAAATTTTATAATTTACTATTAATTTTTCATTCATCAACAATAAGTTAATTAAATAAAGGTGGTAAATGAAATATGAATTAATTTAGAGTTAAAATCAAATATTTTGTAATTGCAAATGACTTTTTTTAAAAATTAAAGAGAATATGAACATGTAAGATATCACATTTACACTGTATAAATTCGAATTTCAATAATCTAGGGAACATTTTTAAAAATTTGCTAAAAGTTACAAGTATTTACTCTCTGTCATATACTTAAATGTTTTGTGCCATTACAAGATTTTTTTTAAAATTAAGTTTACTAGGAATAAATATTTGTTAGCATGTTAGCATAAAAATTTGAAAAAATGAACTTACAGATGTAACAAAGTCTTCAGCTGCCTGAATAATTCCTTGGGTATGGATTGAAGTTTGTTTTTGGATAATTTTAAGCTTTCAAGTGACCACAAGTTGTCAAAAATACCTTTCTCTAAGCTTACAATTCGATTATGACTTAAAGACCTGCAAAATAAATTAAATATATGCATCATAAAAAACTTTTAGGCAAAATAAATAATTGCAAGTGATTTTTCCCTTTTTTTTTTCTTGAAACAAGTTAGAACAGATTTTGCTTAAAAAATTTATTAGCCCATAATTTAAATTTGTATAAAACAATTTATTGCAATTCAATCATTTATCTGCAATTTTAAATTGACATCATAAAAAATATGAGTACATAGTTTCTAAAGATATTGTTGAATAGAATTAATTTCAAACATCACTTTACATATAAAAGTAAAATAAAATATATTAAAAGCATATTTTACATTTAATCCCACTGACCTAGATCAGGGAGAGAGGAAGCCCAGTTAGATATTATTTATTTTGAGATTAGTTAATAACCAAAAACAAAAAGCTGTGGCAATTTTTTTAAGTATTTATTGGCAGAAGTGAAGGCATGTAAAGCAATAAATAATAATGCTATACAGTAATATAATAAAGAAAAACACACTAGTCACAATTGAAATTCACTTGATACATTTGAAAATTAAATAGTTCCTATATAAGCTATAAATTACACCTATGATAATTTCAATAATAATCATAACATCAGTAATAGTTAATGAAACAGTTAACAATAAGATAACAATGTGATATTTAAAAAAAATGTCTAAGGCAGGTAAATAGTCATTAAGATTAAACCATCAAGGTAATCACTAGCATCAAGAAAAAAAATACTACTTGACAGGTTTTAACAAATTGTCCTAATTTTTTAACCGATGGTATGAATTTTATTTAGTTCTGCCCTATTTTTAAACATAAAATGCACTATACTTACATGAAATATAAGTGTTAACATATAGTATAAGTGTTAACATACAATAATTAACACTTATAATTGCTATTAGAATTGAAAATAAAATAAAAATTCTTTAAAGAAAATTACTTCAAGACCAAATTTAATTTTTTGAAATTTTTCTTTACTTCATTGATTTTGAACAAACATCGGAGGTACCTTAACTGAAATTAATTCCTTTTCCTGACTTTTAGTGAGTTTAAGTTAAAATTCCCTGATATTTCCAGATTAATAAAATTCCCTATTTTGTGGCTACTCTGTTAAACACATGTAGTACATAAATATTAATAAATGTTTAAATTGAGTAAAAAAAAATAATGTTAAATGCACTGACAAGATTATTAGCTAGTCCTCTTATAGCAAGAGGATCCTCAATCATAACTTCCTCCTTTAGCCAATGAATCAGTGACAAGAATTATTGCAACCCTCACAAATCTAACACCGCTGCTGAAGAAGTTAATGGAGTATATCCTGTTTAAGGCACTTTAATACCCAGCATCCTTTTCACCCCCAATGACACGTTTAACTGTGATTTCTTTGACACTTCCTCTCCTCCTCAAAATTAAGTGAATTAGTAAAGAACAAAGAGAATCATGACACTACTCTAACTATCATCAATAGAGACGTTGAAAGAATGTACAAGAAAATTCACTTTTATCTGTTAATAAAAACTGAATCAGTTAATCTAAAAATACCTTCAACCAATTTTGATTCCAAATTATTTATTTTTCAAAGGGAAAAAAAAACTCACATTATAAAATACAAACACTAAATTAATAATACTAAGACTTTTCCATATCATATTTCCCTCATGTATGTAATTGGTAACAAATTTTTTAACTATTTTTTCAGTTATGCAGGATTTTTATACATAGAATATATTACAAAACAATTATACTTGGCTTATTAAGAGTTGAAAATAAATATTATTTTTAAAAAAAAATTTATAACAAAACTCTATTTTTTTTAATGAAATGCTAAAATAAAAGGTCCCACAAACTCAAATGAATTAGTTTTCCAAGATAATTGAGATATTATAATTTCCTTGACATTTCCAGAGTGATAAAAGGTTCCATTTTTATGCTCATTTCCTTTTTTTTTTTTTTTTTTTTTTTTTTTTTTTTTCTTTTTTTAAGTACTAGCCACTAGCAGCCATTTCTAATTTCCACTAGCAGCTATTTTTTCTCTTGACAAAAGTGACTTTAGTGACCATTTTTAACAAAAAAAGTGACCACATTGGAAGGACATATTAAGGGAAAATATCATTACTTTATACAATAACAAATTAAGAAAATGATACTTTTTGAACAATAACACTAAAATATGAAAGAGAGTTACAATTTACCACAAGTAAAGAGATCTTCAAGTCTTTGTTCATAAAAATAAACTAGGATTCTATGCCTCCTTTTTGTAAATTTTTTTTAACCTAACAGATAGTAAATATGAATTCCCTGTTAGGATATGTGTTTACCCATACTTCATTTTTCAAGGCTTCATCTGATTTATTGGAATCATTCAAAATTCTGCATTGGAAGAAATTCATTCTTATAAAAAAAATATAATTTTTGGCAGAATGCTGCCAAAAGGCATTAATAGCGGCGGTGCATTTGATAATTTTTCAGAGTCCGTGAAAGAATTTAGACAATTTTACAGAAAAATTGACTTTCCTAATAAAATAGGGAAATTACCTAAACAAAAAGGGGCTTTTAGTGACCTGCTGCGACCACAGACTATGTCGATTTCCTTAAACTTGCCTTTTGGACTACATCTGTTTTTCAAAACACCCATTTCAAGCTTTTTTGATATGACAATTTTTAAAAGCATTTTAACTTTTGAGCTATGCCTATTTCAAAATATGCATTTTAAGTTAAGTAAGTGCACTTTTTCTAATACCCTTTATGAGCTAAATTGTAAAAACTCAATATAAGGAATGGGAACACATTGTTTCAATTAAAACATATTTATTAATTATAAATTATTAGTAATAGATATATTAGCATTCGTTATCAGGTCACATTATCATCATTTAAATAGATAACGTAAGAAAACTTAGTATAAAATAACGTACAAATGCAAAAGAGACGATGAATTTCCAAATGTGTTTGCTGGTAAGTCTACAAGACTGTTGAAGCTCAACTCAAGAACTTGCAGTTTCGGAAAATCCTCTAATATTGAAGAATTCAAACTATGGATTTCATTATGTTGCCTAAAAAGTGAAAAATAGTAATAAAAATTTATTGTATAGTTACGAGTCAAATCAACAAAATTTTTGGCAAAATGCTAATATACCCTGTCAGATTTAGATCAAATTTGGCACAGTAGTTTTATTTGATACACTAAATTTTACTCGAAAATATTGATCTTTATCAGAAATACAGCCTTTCAAAAATTAAAAAAATTGATCAAAAAACCTTCACAGATCAATTTTTAAAATGATCAAAAACTCTTCTAGTTTAGCTAGAGAGTAGTGCCAAGTATCATTTTAAAGTTATTTTTAAAACCTTTACATTTACATATAACACATTAACAAATTAAAAAAATTATTTTAATTAAAATTGAAAATTTTTAAAATGCCTCACTCCAAAGATTACCTGGTTCACTTTTCATTCAAAGTTCAACTAGATTGAACATGATAAAGAATAATTTGCAAATCAAAACAGGTTTCTACAGGGCTGTGCATATGAAGACAAAAAAATGATACAAAAATTTAGAACCTATCAAACGCTCTTAATTTTTATGCTCAGTTGTTAATTAGTATATCAGTCAGATATGTGATTTATTAAGATTTAGATGAAATAGTGAAAATATTTGATTTTTTAATTATTGCGTTTTAGTGAGCAAAAAAAAGTTGAAAATTTTTTGTATTACAAATTAATATATTTTTATAATAAGAGAGTCTTGCCTTTATAAATTAATTAAGTTTGACATAAATATTATCTAAATATTAACTATTTTTTGTAAATATTTTGTAAAATTTAAAATATTGCTGACCAAAGGAATTTTTCTGGACAGTGTTTCAATCCATTTAAAAAGAATAATCTTAGAGTGAGAGAAATTAAGAAACTGAGATGTTTTAAGGGATAGATGATAGTTATTTACAGTGAAGTAGAAAAAACAGCAAAATGTTGCCACGTGCAGAAAACAGCTCTCTGAGAAGAGAAAAAACGAGTAATCGGGCCAACAATAAAGAAAATGAAGATTCAGAGAGCATGGATGTAGATCCAAATTCTGAAGTTGTTAAAACACAAGTGTTTCACGACATGAATCGATAAAAATAGTAAGAAAGTAAAAACATTATTAAGAATGGAGATGAATTGGAAGCATAAAAACTAATCGGGGGAAGAAAGAAAGAAAAAAAGGTAATTTTATAAATTTATATTTGATTAAAAGTTCAAGCAATCCTCAATATGGCAAAACAATCCTGATCACAAAAGTTTGAAATATAATGAATAGTTTTTACTTACTGAAAATAATTATTTTTAGATAAGAATTTCGCTATTCACAACAATTTTATGTCCCCTTGTAGGTAATATCTGATAATTGCTTAGACCAGTGTTTCCCAAACTTATGACTTTTGTGCACCCCTTCTAAATTTTTCGGAACGCTGTGTACCACTAATAAAAAAATGTATGTATTTTTTACTACAAAAAAAATTTCACAAAAATTAAAAATTACAACTGACTGTTGACACCACTAATTATTAACTGTTAACTCTGCAAAAAATAGCCAATAGAAAAATACGTAATCGTAAATTTTCATGGCTAACTTTGCTTTTAAATAAAATTTTTTGAAAATTTTGTTTGTTGCAAGATATTTCGCATAAGGACACGTACCCCCTCTAAAATGTTCCCGTACCCCTGGGGGTACGAGTAGCACACTTTGGGGAACACTGGCTTAGACCATTAGGCCTGAGCGAGCCTAAGGTCAAAAATTTGTAGAGAGGATTATTTAGAATGTCTTCATTAGATATCTCTTCAATTCCTTTTAACAAAAATTTTAAAAATATAAATATTACATAAAAGCAAAATAAAACAAGATTTTGTTTTTTACTTAAACAAACTTTTAGCAATTGAATTCAAACATGGAATACTTACACATTGAGTACAGTTAGGGAAGATTGATAACCCAAATCAGGAAGTTCTGTTAAATGATTATGGTTAATATGCCTGAAAAGGAAAGAAAATTACATTCAATCCATTAATCAAATTAACAATTTTCTTACTAATTTTAAAATCAATATATTCAAAACTTACAGTTTTTGTAGAGAAGGGAGGTTTTGAAACTGTGAGCTATTAACTGATCTCAACTGATTGTTACTCAAGTCTCTGAAAAATAAATGGTTTAATAAATAAATAAGCAAGAAATAAAGTAATTTTTTTTAAAATGTTAAATTTTAGTTGAATAATTTATAAGATCATGTATATATTTATTTGATACAATATCATGTATATACAATGATATATTTATTTCTTAATCCGTAAAGGTTACTTAAAAAGGAACTTATAATATGTGAAGGGCAGTGCACAAAAAGGGAGGGGAAAAAACCACCTGAATGATTGACTTTTGATCTAATAACAAGATTTATTTCATATGAGGGGTTGCATCTTAATGGTTCAAGGACCTATCCCTAAATCTTAGTGAGAGCAGACGATATTTTAAATTACGAAATTAGCTACAAACCATAATTTCTTCATTGCCCCCATATTTTGAGTGTCATGGAACCTTATGTTCCAAAAAAAAATTATATGTTTATTCAGACAAAGTATACTTCTGTAACTAATTTCGCAACTTAATATATAATTCGCAATAATTGTTAATAACTTACTTAAGGTTTGGCACTCAAACAATTAAAATTGAGTCACAGTGCACGAATATACGATCTTTATTAAGGTATTCGTTAACTCCAAGAAAATTAATTTATCAAAATTAAAGTACATAGCTTACATTTTTTAATATATTTATTTATCTATATTTAGAAGCCGATTTTTGCTTATAGTGGTGGAATGCATAACTTCGAGAAGTGAGAGTATATTATAGGGATGTAAAGAATAGTTTTTTAGCCGCACCGAATATTCGGTCAAATAAATTGGCCGAATACTAGGCAACCGAATAGCAGCATTTTATTTCTTTAAAAAAATCAATAAATATTTTTCATACAGAAATAAGTTTAGCGATTATTCGTATGGGGAGCAAAGGGAGAAAAAACGATAATACAACAATTTAAGATAATGAAGATAATCAAATAAAGATACTGAGAAATATTTAAGATTAAAAAAAAAACTAACAGCCCTTAAAAAATTTAAAATTGTAACGTTGAAAAAAAAGATCCCCTTAATCCTTAAAACAGAACTTAAAAACTAAAAATAATATTTTCCGGGGAAAATAACAAGTTTTTCTAAAAAGAAAAAGCTAGATAGAAACCAAAACAAAAATCTTTCCTAATTTTTAAACGAAAGATTTAACTCTTTTACATTGCCGTATGCCTTCTTTTTTTTTTTTTTTTTTTAAGTGACCATTAAAGAATAACGTCCATTAGAAACGCTCTTTAAAAAATACACAATAACACTAATAAATTAATAAAAATCAAAAGAGTAACAGAAAAGACATCGTTCTTTGTTCTGAAATATAACTTTAACATTGAGAATCTCAGTTTTCTATGTTACTGGTTATCTGTCTGACCGTAACAGGAAAAATAGGCAATAAAAGAATTTAAGTCCATTAGAAACACTTCGCTTTAATTATAACAGAAAAACTAGCAAGAATGAAACAAAACAAAAAAGTTCTCAGTATTTTAAAACAAAGTGTTGAAAAAACGATGAAATTGACGCCGGAAAATAATTTAAAAAGAAAAAAAAAATCAGCATTGCAAAACTCATGGTTCAGTATAAAGTGATATAGTAGCTTCAATTCTACAAATTTCGCTTTTCCATGTGTCGTTCAGAACATAAATTAACAAGTTTTAGAACTCTACATGTAAATGTATTATACATGTAAACATTGTAACATGTAAACAAACATGTTACATGTTACATGTAAACAAACATGTATTATACATGTAAAAACTATTTCGAATAATGTACAGTAAAAAATACGATTTTAGATTATTTATTATTAAATCTATTAAAATTTCACCCCTAAAAAAAACTTTGTTGAAAACTAATTTTTCAAATAATACTTTGCCGAATATTCGGCCGAACATCTGGCCAAAGGGGAGAATATTGACTGAATAGTGGTCGAATATTCGTCACATCCCTAGTAAATTATATACTTTCATTTTCAAAATATAACACCATTATTTAAGTTAAGTTCACTGTACACACTTTAATTGGTTTAGATTTTTATTAATAATACTATTCTTCAAGAAGAAAAGAAAAATCTTAAAATCACAGTACTATAACCATTTGAGAGTGACAAAAAAAAAAAAAAACTTTTAAAGAGATAAAATGGTACCGATGCCAGATTTATCACCTGTATCTTTTCCCGACGAGTTTTAAAAATAAAGATTAAAGCGAGAGCGCTGTGAAGAGACAAGCAGTCTGCCATTATGCAAAAGTAAAACAAGCTATTAAAAGGGTCACGCAGACAGGTTCCCTAGGATCGTGACGTTTGCCAACTGCGCGATTAGACTAACTACTACTCATGCTATTTTCCGATTCACCCAGAAAGAAGAAGCTTGAAATATCGTCAGTCAGAAGAAACCAACCTCATTTTTCCTTTTCATGATAATATATGTATCTTAAATAAAAATTTAGTATTTGTTTTTAAATTTAAAAAAAAATGAAAAATACATGCTTTCTTGAATTCAATATTATAAAACTTATTTAATTCTCACCACTCTTTGAAAATAATTTAAGTATAGACCAGTCTTATCAACTTCACAATTTTTAATTTAAAAAAAAAAAGTCGCAACAAATAATAAATGATATCAACAAGAGGGTATGAGCCTGCTACCTCTTTGGGGCTCAAAGAGTGCTGCAAAATGTAATGGCTCGAGATCCGGAATCGGCTATATTGCATCAAATGTAATTGACGTCCCACCCATCCCAAGCTGACATTGAAAAAAAAAAGGGGGTGTTTTTTAGTCGTAAATAAATTTAGAACCCAAGTTCTAGAAAATAAAAACTCATTTAATTTATAAGAATCTTTTTCTACACAAATAAAGAAAGGAAAAATAAGGGAAAAGTGGATAAATTCAATATCTGACAGCGCAAAATTAAAAGGTATAAACTTAGGCAATCCCTCCAATTACAAATGTCATATTTACGGAAAGAACTCAGTTTTAAAATATTGGAGCAAATCTAAATTTTTGAGAAAATAAGTTTTAGCGTCAGTTACACTTAAACCAACTTTAAAACCTTTTTTAGACATTAAAAACAGACAGTTACAAGCGTAATACAATGTGCTAAATTTTTAATTTTTTTTAAAAACATTTTAAGCTTATGAAAACTACAAAAATTTGGAGTAAGTGTACATGACACCAAGACTTATTTACACAAAAATTATTAGAACTGTTTGAATTTTTTAAACTCTACAAATAAAGCATTCATAAATGGTGGATTTGCCCTAAAATAAAATAATTATGTAAATTAAATAGACGTAAAAAAAAGATTGAAAACTTTTGTGCGGCATTTTAAAACGTTAATGGAAAGGTTAAACGCAACAATTTCCAGAATTTTAATGAAAATGATTTGTTACCGGAAGGTGTACGACGTGGTGTTACGATATTTGAATAATTTCTACACAATTTTCACTACCACCTGTGTACATATGTTCCAAATATTCATGAGAAATGGGTTTCGTAATTTGGAAAGAATAAACCCTTTATTCATGGTGGCAGAAATAAAAGTTGCGCGCGTAGGTGAAAAAACGACGGGAGCGTCACAATGAGGTATAAAATAATAATAATGCAGGAGAAAAAGTAGGTTCGCCCACAAGTGTAGGAGAGAGATTCGTCTTGATACACAGAGGTTACGATAACATCATACCTGGGCGACACCAAAATGACACGTGCACACACAACTCCTACCCTTTCCCCTACTGATGATTATTGCCACATATCATTGGTTTAATATTTTTTTTCCCCATCCCCTTAAAGGAAAAAGGAAAGTCAAAGAGATAGCCAGGTTAACTTATGTATACCTCAACAATAAAAATGAATTAAAAGGATCAAGATACGCGCTGACAAGAGCCATTATGTTTTTAACCTGTCAGTTTCCATATCTAATTCTTACTAAATCGATGAGTGTCCGACATAAAGGCTGATTTTTTGATGCAAGGTAAAAAAAAAAATTATATATATATATATATATATATGCGTTTTTAGTCATNTGAAAAGTTGAGAAAACTTTTTCAAGTCTGTCGATTCCAGGGTTGGCTGGTTTAAACCATGGTTTGAATTTGCCATTTTTTATCATTCTATTATTTTAAAATGTTATTTAAAAGAAAAATAAATAGTATTTTAAATTTTTCATGCTCCGTTAAGTGAAAAGTAAAAATTAATATTTAATCAATTGGAAAAAAAATTACACTTGATCATTTTTTGTAATATATTGACACAAATGTTGTTAATTGTATACTTTTAATTATTGATATTAAATAATGCAAAGTATGATATTTGCAAATATAGTGACAAAGAAGAACTCATTTTTTAACACACACACATATATATGTATTATAATTTTGATATTTAATCTTTATTTGCAAGTTAAGTTTAAATTAAAGTAATATAGCATATTCAAAATTTACAGTTATTCTTTTCACGTAAGTCTGTTTTGGGAGAAGTGGATATTTTTTAGAATGTTCATTAATACTAAATTGCAGTTAAAAAAAGTTTTCATGTTTATACATTATAACAGTTTACTTTTTAATTTAGATAATAAAGTATTATTTAACATTTAGTTTTAAATAAACCAACAACAACAAAAAACGTTTTAAATAAAAAAGTTTTTTTTTTTCTAACCCTTAACGATCGAGCAGCCTAAGTACAAAGACAAAATCAGTTTTTACAGCGTTTGAAACTGATTAACGTCAATAAAATATGACGCATACTAAGAGATCATTGTTCATTATCCAAGATCCAAGTCAAGATTTAAAAAAAAAAAAATTATGCAATCTGGGCACTTTTATCGTTATCAAAAATAACTTGATAAGGCATAAATTATTCATTTCATTTTCTTATAAGCTTCAAATAGAAATCAAATGCATGAATAAGTGTTGGCATAAAATGTAACTGCGATCTTATATTAAAAACCACAAAATTAACTATTCAAAAACTAAACCGAATGATTGAAAAGCTAATTAATGCGTCATTTAAATACAGCCATAA